GCCAGATCCCAGATCTACTGTGCCTGAGTGGGTGGATGATGGTGGGGGTGGACACCAAAGAGTGACAGCCTTGGTCCCTTTTAAATAGACTTGATTTTCAGTGTATATTTAGGTTCATAGCAGAATGGAGTTGAGAGCTCCAATGATGAATGTGATTGTATTGTATACCTAGATTGTACCAATAACCTCAATAAAAAGAAAAAGAAAAAAAAAAAAGAAGTGCCAGATCTACTGTGCCTGAGTGGGTGGATGATGGTGGGGGTGGACACCAAAGAGTGACAGCCTTGGTCCCTTTTAAATAGACTTGATTTTCAGTGTATATTTAGGTTCATAGCAGAATGGAGTGGAAAGTTGAGAGCTCTCACATGCTCCCTCCTCCCTCTCTCCTTACCCGTAGCTGCACGGCCTTCTCTGCTGTCCTCCCCGCCCGTCGCGGAGTCAGCTTGGTTACACTCGATGAACCTGCACCGGTGAAGTCTCTGCAGCCCGCCGATGTCCCCCAGGTTGGCCCCGGTGATGTGCACACTGAGTTTGGTGAGTGGACCCACCGTGACCTTGTCACACAGTAATTTCACTGCTGCCGTAGGAACCCTCTGCACTCTATCCGCTCACCGGTCCTTCTGCCCTAACTCATGGTGACCACTGCCCTTTTGAATGTCGCCCAGTTCCTTCTGTTTCCAAATGTCATGTCTCAGAATCACTCAGCACATAGCCTTTTAAAGTTTAGTTCTCTCACATAGTAATATGCGTCTTCCCCATGTCTTTTGGAAACACGGACTCATAATAATTGTATATATTTACGAGTTACAGTAGGATGATGTGATACACGTATCCTACAATGAAGGACGATCAAGTTAGGGTAATTAGCATTTATTTCCCTCTCCTTAAACATTTATCCCTTCTTTGTGTTGTGAAGCTTCAAACTCCTCTCTTGCAGTTCTCTTTAACATACAGAAATTGTGAACTGTAGTTGCCCTACTATGTGCTGTGGACTACTAGAGCAGATTCACCCTGTGTTTGGTGTCTCCATCCAACCGCTGTCTGTCTTCCTCTGCCCCAACTTCCCATGCTCCAGGAGGATCTGCTCTCTCTGCTTCTATGAGAGCAACTTTTTAGGCTTCTACATAAGCAGTCATTGTCATCCTGTGTCATTGTCGTTCTGGCTTATTTTGTGGAGCCGCATGTCCTCCAGCTCCTTCTGTGTTGCTACAAATGACAGGAAGTTTTAAATATTGGGATAATAGTCCACTGTGTACATGTACCGTATTTTCTGCACCCATCCGTCAGTTTGTGGACTTTTAGGTTGTTTGCATTTCTTGGCTGCTGTGAAATAGTGCTGGGACGTGGAGTCCAGACACCCCTTTGACAGGCTGGTTTCCTTTCCTTTGGATATGTATCCCGGAGTGGGATTGCTGGATCATATGGTAATTCTACTTGGCATTTGTCTGAGGAACATTCTTAGAGTTTTCTGTAACTGCTATACTCATTTTCCTTCCCACAAGCGGTGGGAACGTGGTCTACTTTGTCTGCATCTTTGCTAGCCCTTGCTGCCTTCAGTCTTCTTAATAACAGCCGTTCTTAATGGGGTGAGATGATATCTCCCGGAGCTTTTGATTTGTATTTTCCTGATGATTACTGATTGTTGACAATGAGATTTTTTGCATTTTTACACCTGTTAGCCACATTTACATCTTCTTTTAAGAAAAGACTAATTGTTCCATTTTAAAAATTTTGCTATTGAGTTTTTGGAGTTTTTTATACATTCTGGATTATTCTCTTAACCACATAGATAATTTGAAAATATTTTCTCTTAATATACATGTTGTTTCTTCGTCTTATTTATCATTTTCCTTTCTGTGCAGAACCTTTTTAATTTGATGGAATGTCTTTGTCTGTTTTCACTTTTTTTTTCAGCTTTAATTGAGTTTATTGATACATTTTAGGGATACAGTACAGTTACGTTCATTGTTGGGATCTTGTATCTCTACATGACAAGTCTTAATTCTCATTTTTTTTCCCTTACCCCTGCCCTCCCTTCACCCCTTCCTCCCCTCCCCATCTACAAACACTTTATTTCCATCTTTTCATTATCTCACATTTTGTTCTTTTCCCTTATTACCCTTCCCCTACCCATCCCACCTTCCCTACACCTTTAGCTCCTTTCTTCCCATTTCTAAATGTCAGTAATCTTATTAGGATTTTATGTGTTATTGCAGATTGTTCACACCAGGGAAATGTTTTCACTTTTATTTGCAGTCTTTCAATAAATATCCTTTCCCATTGTAATGTCTTGAAGTGCTTCTTGTTTCCTTACAGTAGTTTATTTCATACTTTCATGCCTTATTACCCTTAATTTTTAAAGGATATTTTTTATCAGGAAGGGATATTGAATTTTATCAAATTGCTTTTCTATATCTGTTGACATGATCGTGAGTTTTATCTTTCATTATTATTGTGTATATGTCTTTTGGATTACATATGCAAACGTTGAGCCGTCTTTAATTTCTGGGGTAAATCACACTTGATCATGATACATAATCTTTTTGATCAGTTAATGGAGTTACTATTTTTGCTTATATAATTGTTAGGAATACTGGTCTGTAGCTTTCTCTTCATTTTTTTTTTTCTTTTTGTTTTTTTGTTTTTTGTGATAGCATCTCACTATATCATTGAGACTGACCTGGAACTCACTATGTAGCCCAGGCTGATCTCGGATTCACAGCGATCCTCCTGCCTCAGCTTTCTGAGTGCTGGGCTTACAGGCGTGTGCCACCGTACCCCGCTGTAGCTTTCTCTTCTTAATGTGCCCTTCTTTGGTTTTGGTATTAGGATGACACTGAACTCACGTATGGGGTTAGGTTCTCTTCCTTTCAACTGTTTTGAAATAGAGAATAATTCCTATTACAGCACTGCTTTTTGAACAGCCTTGTGTAATTCAGTGGTGAAGTCATCTAATCCTGGGGTTTCCTTTCTATTGATTCAGTCTCATTATTTGGTATTGTCCTGTTGAAATTGTCTATGTCTTCACAGTTTAATTTTGATAAGTTATATATGTCCAGAAATTTATCTATTTTTTTAGATTTCCCATTTTGTTGGGAAATTTGTTATCCATAGTATTCTGTAATGATCCTTTGTTTTTCTGTAGTATTAATTGTACTGACTCTTTTTTATTTCTGTATTTATTTGTGTATTTCATTTTTTTTAGTCTAGGTAAAGGTTTGTTGATTTTGGTTTTTACCTTTCAAAAACTGAAAAATAACCAAATCGTTATTTCATTGACTTTTTAAAAATCCTCTATTTCATTTGTTTCATGCTTTAATCTGTGTTTCTCTTTCTGCTATTTTGAGTTTGGTTCTTGCTTTTTTCAATTCGTTAAGTTTCATTTAGGTTGTTTCTTTGGTTTTTCTTTTATTTAGGTGTTGATTACTATAAACTTCCTTCTTAGGTCTGGGGATTTAGCTCAGTAGCTCTGCTGCCTGGCTTGCAAGCGCAAGGTCTGAGCTCAGTTCCTGGTACCAAAAAAATAAAACAACAACAACAAAAAAAAACACCCAAAAACAACAACAAAAAAACTTCCTTCTTAGATCTGCTTTTACTATATCCTATAGGTTTTGGTATTTTTTTTTTCATTTTTACTTGTTTCAAGAAGATTATTAGTCCCTGTTTTGATCTCTTTGTGTATTGCCTGTTTAAGATTGCATAGTTTGATTTACATCTATTTTTTCAATTTATTTTTACAATTTATTTTAAATTTTTTATTAATTTTGGTACATTTTAGGTATACAATATAATGACATTCATCGTTGGAAATTTGTACCTTTACATAATAATATATCTTGATTCTTTTCTTTTCTCCAGTCCCCTCCCTTCCTTCAACCCCTCTCCCCTCTGTTTACTTTGTTTCCAGTTTTTATTTTTCTTGTATTAATTCCGTTCCTTCCTTTCCTTCCCCCTACCTCTCCCATTTCCCCTCGCCCTCTCCCTCTTTCTTCCTATTTCACATTATCTGTGATACCTTTTAGTCCTTATTTACACCTTTAGTTTCTCATACCAGAGAAACTATTCAGTATTACATGTGTCCTTTTTTTTTTTTTTTACAATTTCTAAAGTTCTTTTTTGTACTTGACTTTTATTTTTAATCCTCTGAGATCAGAGCAGATACATAATTTTAATTTTGCAGGGTCTGGTAAGACTTGTGATCTCCAACATGACCTATCCTTTTTGATTTTCTGTGCTCTGATGAACGAATGTGCTTTTTGTGTCTCCTGAATGAAGTATTCTGTATATGCCTAGTAGGATTACTGAACCTACTGTACAGAGCATGATGCATGGTGCATGATGTTTCTTTATTATTTTGTTTTATGTAGAGTGAAATTGGGTTTTGCATCCTCAACTTTTATTGTTTCCAAATATTGTCTCTCATTAGATCTAATAGTGTTTGCTTTGTATATCTGGATGCCCCTGCATTTAGGGAATTATTCTTTGCAGCCGTAGAGAATACTCTGGTTGAATTGAACCCTTTATTGCTGTATGAAGACCTTGTCTCTCTGCACAGTTTTGACTGAAAGTCTCTTTCATCTCAATTGAGTATAGCTACTCATCATTGTTTGCAGTTTCTATTTTAATAAAATCTATTTTTGCGTAACTTTAATGTTTCTGTGTCTTTCCCAATAAACTAAGTTTCACCAGTAAAAAGTCAGTAGCCTATCAGCAGTATATCATTGGATCAGCATTGGGGTTTGTTTGTTAAATCATTCAGCCAACCAAACTCTTAATTGATTAATTTAATCCTTGTGCAGTGTTCCTCTTAATAAGCGAAAAGTCCCGTCTTTTTGCTGACTGTTTCCTGGTTGTTTTGTATATCTTTGCTCTTCTTTTGTTTTTCGTGTTTCTGGGCTGTTGTTTTTCTGAACTGATATGGTTAGATTCTTGTCTATGTATCTGCCAGATGCATAGTATCTGCATAGTATTCTGCGTGTTTTTTGATAGTAATTACTATCTTTTCAATCTCGCTGTAGGACTCCCTTAAACATGTCTTATAAAGCCGGCTTGCTATTGATGAATCCCTTGAATTTTCTCTTCTCTTGCAAAATTATATCTCCGTACTTTCTAAAGGATAGCTTTATTGGGTATAGTATTCTTGGTTGGCAGATTTCTTTTTATCTTTAGAGTTTGAGTTTATCCTCTCATTCTCCTCTCCCCTCCCCTCCCCCTCCCCTTCCGTCCCCTCCCC